AAAAAAATTTGGGGGGGGGGGGGGGGGGGGGGGGGGAGGGGGGAATTCTCGCAGGCTACAAAAGTTCAAATAAGCTCAATTATCGAGGCTACCTTCGTAAATGGACGTCTCGCGTTCATCCTGTTCAGCATTTTTAGCAACGTTCGCTTCGAATTTCCTCGACTCTTGGGACACGTTTGAAACCGTAAAGCGGTGGCCACACACGGTTCACAGAGAAGCTGCGCGTTCGACGGGCTTGTATTCTTACAAATTACAATTAAACGACGTACGATTAAACGATACCAATATAGCTCTCTGTCCCCATTTTCACTGGGTGTTCCACGAACAGCGGAACAGTTGTGCACAGACGATTGGAGTGTAGATTCCAAGATACGCACGGTGAAAAGAAGTAAATTTCGTTTATAAAGAGACCTGGACGAAATACGGAAATACGATCAAGAGTTGCGCGTTGTAACGTTTTCGTCAACGGGTCGATAGAGACTCGATCTTCGCTCTAACAAGATGAACGATGCGCCGACACGACGGGGCCTTGCCGAAGTACCAATGACGAAGGTGAGTATTCTTATTTCTAACACGGTAGGCTCCAGCTCGTCTCCTACCAATGGTTTTCGAATGGGTTCTCCATTGAAATCTCGAATCCAGAAAATTGCACCATTACAGAGGCGACAGGCGATGCGCGCGCCCGAGCCGTCTTAAGCATTTAACAAAATAAAAGATCATCGATCACCGGTTTCAACGTTTTAATTTCAACAGGATAAATGACAAACCATCTTAGTCTCCGAACGACAGAGTAATCGTACAAATTTCGCTAAACAAACAAAATCGTCGCCTCGACGGAAAATTATCCGAAAGTGTGTCTCCCCGATCGGCGTCGATCAGTCGGTTTCAACGTTTCCATTTCAACGCGACGAAGAGCGCGCCACGATTTCTTCGGTCACCGAACGATAGAGCGCGGTTTGTACGATTTTACAACAAAACAATTATCGCCTCGAAAAACAATTATCGTCCGAAAGTGTGTCTCCCCGATCGGCGCTCGATTCGAAAGACGAATGTTCCGGGACAAAAATATTTATTTACAAAAAAAAAAAAACAAAAAAAAACGTAGCGATTGTTTCTCGCGCGATTCGATAAACGACGGACAACGGGCAACGTTGTTGTCGTCGACGTAGAACGTATATTCACGAAGATTTATTAAAAAAAAAAAAAAAAGAAAAAAATGAAAAAGAGAGAGAAAGATGTATTTGCGTGATAAGATAAAAAGTTGTAACGTTCCGCGAACAATTACGGTAGTTAGACGTTAATAAACTAGTAATTATTACATGATTAACTGCACTATAAGTAAACAATTGGTCGACTCATGTTTTTAAGTACACTTCATTACCGGGATACAAGACATCGTTCCGTGTCTCATTCTTAAGTAAGCGCAGAACAATACAAAATACTGGTTGTTTTATCATTAGAATAATCGTAAAGGGTAAAACTCTGTTATTCGTCGTTCATTGGCCGAACCGACCGAACCTATCTAATAAAATTTAGCATTTCTTTTATGCCATGCGATACCGACTTTCTCTCGCACTGTCACTCTCTCGATCATTCATTCCGTCTTTCTTCTCATTCTCTCTTTCTTTCTCTCTCGCTCATTCACTCCCTCCCCATGTCTCTCTGTCAAATCGCCGATCTCTGTACATTGTTACTATCGTAAAATTAAATGCTCTGAATCTCTCCTTCCATTATACTTTCAGTCTCTTTTGCACAGAAATGTATGCATGCTGGACATTTCGAGCATACCATAGGCCGCTTCGAAATTCGTGTGTTTCGTTGGTGGGAGCTCGCGTTGCGCGACGCCCACGTGGAAGCATTTTAATTAGAAAGAAAAAGAAAAATATATATATATATATATATATATATATATATATATATGTATATACGTATATATACATATATACGCATACATACACATATATATGTATATTTATGTATATATATATAAATATAAATATATATATGTATATTTATGTATATATATATATAAATATAAATATATATATGTATATATATATACACATATATAAAATAAAGAACGAAGTAAGAGAGAAAACCATCGTTTCTCGTTCGCCTTTCTAATTAGTTCTATAAGAATGTAGTCCCTTCACCCACCACTAATGTATCATGGACCGTAAGGTTTATGGATTTGTTTGTCTAATTCTGTCCGTTTCTTGGTTATCTATTAACGTATCCGATTCCGTAAGCTTATGGAGCCTATAAGCGTGGAATCTGCAATGGAAAAAATCAGTCTGAAACCAATCTCACCCCGGTCGTAGACCATCCTATACGCATACATACTGTGTAGCGTCTCAAGCGATGCGCTCAACTTACGGCTATGATTCAATGATCTCCTCTCAACAATTCCATCAGCAAGTTGAACGAACTGCCTTCTCCTTCCGCGCGTTTTGCGCTCAGCAATTCCTTCCCTGCCTGACACGTCCTTTGCAAGTCTGGAATTCTGAGTAGCAGTTCGCCGAACTTGGCAGGCATCTCGGGATACCTTGCTATTGTGTACTGCTGCAAGGCCTGAAGAGCCTTCTCCTGCGATGCTCGCACTTTCTCCGGTTCTTTCAGCTCGCTCGTGTCGGATGTTAACAGTACTATCACCTAGCGGATACCAATACGTGTTAATTATTGATTTCGAATCGCGAGTTGGATACTTATCGAGGGAAATTGAACAGATCGGGTCTAAAGTAGACGCGCGCCGTAGGTATTCGTTGCAGAGCACGCGGCAGCACCTTCTCCTAGCTTTTTGCATCACCAGCTCTTACCCTTTGCTACCGGATAGCGCCGACAACGTCTTAAACGATCCGATCTGTTCATCCCCCCTCGTCCGGACCCCCCCCCCCTCGCTTCGATCCATTTATTTGTCAAATACCTTCATCGCAACGTATTCGTACTGATCCACTCTGAGCCTTCTCAGATTATTGGTGAACGCGAGCATCCTCTCGATACAGGTCGCCAGGCCAAGCTGCCTGGCTTGTTCCAAGGTGATCGACTTGCCGAGAGACACTCGAATTTCACCGGGCGTGCTCATGCTGCGAAAGCAGCACGAGAAGAGCAACAGCTCGCACCAGGAGTTGATCAAAAGGCAAATCTGGTCGTCGATAGAGATGTTCTTGAACAACGGCAGACTTTTACACCACTTCACTATCTTGTAGAGTCGATGGTCCGCGATGTTGCAAAGGTTCGAGAGGAAATCGGGATGCTGAGTAGGATTGCCGTTCGCGTTGTTCCCCAACTGGGAATTGCTGTTGACCGGCGGGGCCCGTTGGTCGTTGTTCACGCTAGCGATATTCGGACACGACCTGCCGTCTCTTCTGTTGTTCAAATTCCCATTCCCCGCCGTGCCGTTCGACGAACACTCGACTCCCGAGCCGGCGTCGTTCCCGGTCGCCGGTCCTACGCCCCCCAGTAACATGGCATCGTTGTTTCTGGTGACGTTTCCTCCTCCCGGTTGAACGCCGGACATTCGGTCGTTGTCGTTGTAGTGCCACAGGTGTTCCACGTCCATGATATCCTGCAGAAGCTGCGGCACCACCTGCATCTTGTGCGAGTGATTCGAATGATGCCTGGCGGAATAATGATGCTCGCTGCCAGCCGGTGCCGGACTACAGTTTCCGCCGACGCCTAGCTTGTCGCCCGTCATGCCGCTGGCAGGACTACCGACCAGACTCGCCGGCAGAGTGTAGGTGCATTGGTAGGTGCTTCTACCGCCTCTGGTACGGTCTTCTCTGATGGCTTCGAGTTTCATACCTGTGGAAAACAATGCGCTCGAATAACGATGCTTATCGGATACCAGTCGGGCTATGATGCTTCGAGCAACGTATTCCCCAACACACCCATGTTGAGGCACTTGTCGAATCGACAGGCCGGACACTTCTTCCTGGTGGCGACGGTGACCGGACAACCGGCGCCCCTAAGGCACACGTAGTTCTTCCGGTTTTGGACGGTGCGTTTGAAGAAGCCCTTGCACGACTCGCAGGAGAAGATGCCGTAATGAAAACCGCTGATCTTGTCGCCGCAGATCGGACAGGGACTGTTGATCAGCTGCTGTCTGGTCGAGATGCCGGAGGGGGCCGAGGGTATTCGGCAGTCCTCCTGGTCGTCTCCGGCGGCGTGCGCTTCGGGAGAGAGCTCGGAACCGGGCACGGAAGAGGAATAAGAGTGATGGGACACGCTGGACGTGGCCGTGGCCGGCAAGTGGAGAGGACTTCCTTGAGCAACCTGGTGCTGATGGTGCTGCGGATGCCTCGGTTGTTGGACGGGAGAATGCGTGGGCGGACTGAGGGAGCCGTAGCTGTAGCAGCTGCTCGATGCGTCCGAGTTGTTTCTGGACAGCGAGTGCGACAGGGACAGTGACAACGAGGAGGTGGAGTTGTTGAAGCTGTGCCGGGACAAGGAGAGCGACGACGAAGGGACCGGGCTTCCTGCTCCTAGAGCGGAGTGCCGAGCCGCGTGAGGACTCTGCGTCGGCGAACTGAACACGCTGTACGCCGAGTGAATCGCGGAATCCGGTGACGGCACCTAAACGACAACGAGAACAAACAGGTTATCGGCATTTCTAGCGCTTCGAGCCTCGGCTATGGCCGGGGTTCGCTTCTTCTCAACTATACGGTAATACCTGAGATCTCGTGTGGCTATGCTTGGTCAAATGATGTCTCGGGTTCAATACCGGACTGTGATTCGGGGTGGAGCTATTGTAACCGCCGAGCAGTTTCCCCACCAAAAGAGGCAAATCGCTCTGCTGCGTCTGTTCGATGTTCTCTATTGTTCGCTGTTGCTGTTGTTGTTGTTGCTGCTGCTGTTGCTGCTGTTGTTGTTGCTGTTGCTGCATCTGCTGACCGTGGGCCAGCGACGCTCCTGCATCGTGAAAGGAACCTAACGCGAATCCTGGGCTGGATCGGAAATCCGGTTCCGGTTTTATAGGGAACTTCTGCTCCATGGGTCCAGGACTCGAACCGCAAACCTGGACACCTTCCATCGAGGTTTCCTCGTGCGTGTCCTGCGGAGGAATCGAATAGAAAAACCTCGCGACCATCGCGTGGTTAACCGAATTCCATTTACCTGATTCGTGATCGTGTTGGAAGACATTTCTTGATCCGACAATTCCCCTTCCCACGACATGGGTCTCTCGGGCTGCTGCTGCGAAACGTCGTTACCGTCGTAGCAGCCGTTCCCATCGTCGACGTCCCCGTCGCCGATCTTCTCGCCGTTCCCGGACACATCCCGTTTCTTCTTTGTACGTAAATTCACGCCTCGGAAATCGATCTTGCTTATCTCGCCGTCGCTGTCCTCGGCGTCGTTCTCCGCGGCGTTTTGACCGAGGATACCGACCCCGACGCCGACTCCGACTCCGATACCGATGCCTATGCTATGGATGCCGGAACCGCTCCCGATTCCCGTCGTCGACACCACGTTCGCGTTTCCACATCCAAGGACGGACCCGCAACTCGATACCACGGACACTGTCACGCCGTTCTGCCCGGTAAGGTATTTGCATATGCCTTTTCCTAGAAACAATCGTCGGTGTTACGGCTGCACGATATCGTCGACGGGAAAATCGAGATCTAAAATTTACAAGGTACTTTCAGACACCGTTCCCTAATCAACGATCGTCGATTTTACATCTGTACACGATCGACGATTCGAGAGCTTAAAAAATCCACAGGTAGAAAGCGCTCGCCGGTGGCTTCTTCTAAAGTAACAATCGTCGTTCTTACAGCTATTCGCGACTCGAAATGGCGATTGGAAACTTTGACCTAGAACTACGGTACTCGCGGGTACCAGTGCATGGACCAACAGTCGTGAATTTTGCGAGTGTACACGATCGACGACCGAAAACGGACTAAAAATTTCAAAACGGTGCTCCCTTATCCCGATTTCGCGTTGTCTGAAAGCTAGGAGATTCCAGCGGTGAATTTTACCATCGTGTAAGTCTTGGTTCTGAGGTACATTGATGGTCGTAACAGAGACGTTCTTGCCGGTCTCGGAGGTGCGGGCCGCGGTGATGGTGCACGCGTGTCCGCCGGGGGTCGAGGAACAACAGCTGGACGAGGGAGCCGGCGAAGCGGTGGTCGCCAAGGAGGAGGTAGAGGCGGCGGTGCAGGACGCAGAGACGGAGTCGGAGCTGTTCGGAGCGGTGGAGCCGGCGGTCGAGGAAGCGGACGCGGACGCTGGCGCGGGCAGGGGCCCGGGGCCCGACGCGGGCACCGACGCGGACGCGGCCGCCGCCGCAGCCGCCGCCGCCGCCGAGCTAGACTTCCAGGACTGCGAGGTAGGCCACCATCCAGGGCCCGGTCCCGGACCCGGCCCTGGGCCCTCGCTGGGCCCGTTTTGCTCCGACATTCTCAGCTGGTTACCCTGCAGCACGCTCGTGACGCGACTCGGACCCTCTGGACGGTTGCGAAGCTCTGCGGCATCCTGCGTCGAATGTGTCTGGACGCGACGATTCGCCTCTCAGGATTTTCCCGCGCGTTCTCGATCAGTTGCCTCTGGACATCGATGGGACCGGCTCGTGTCTGCGATCAGAGTAGAAAAGGTAGTGGTCAGTTTTGTCGGCTTTCGATAACCTGTTTTATACGGCAATGTCTCCCAAACTGACGCTCGGATTGTGCAGAGAAATGGACAATTTGGAGAAGAGGAGACACGATTGTTCGTTTTTTTATAGTTGCTGACAATTCGTGACTATAAGAATGAACCGGAAGGATCGAATAATCCGTCTCTCTTCTCCCTAAATTGTCCATTTTTCTGGACAATCCGAACGTCGATCAGAGAGACATTACTGTACATTGTATTCGAGCTTCTTTAATCCGTACGCGGATCATTTTTACAAGGATACGATCGAACGAGCTTTCCATTTCGAGGAACCTACGGATTACGATTATTCGATCGCATTGCTGTTAATAAAGTCGAGTCGAGAAGAATTCCAGTTTCTTTCGTTTTCCACTCGATTAAAAGATAAATAGAAATTTCTTTCACTCTCGTTAATAACCAGAAATTAGTCGAACATAGGAAAGGGTTTCGGCGATACTCGTTACCATCTCCGAAGCTGAGCAGCGATCGAAATCCCCCGTGGATCGCAGGGTAACGCCGATAGATCGAGATCGTTCCACGAAAGGAAGCACGCGACGCGACGCGAACTCGATCCGCGTGCGTCCGAGTTCCGCTAGCGCGCGTCGACGGTGTCCCGGCAAGGTCGGTGGACTTCCGGCCCCCCGGAACCGATCGATCTTCCCGTTGGGAAGCGAAGCACCGGTCCTCGAACGTTCGCGGGAAAACGGTCTCGAGATCGAGGCGTCGTTCCAACTGGACACGTTTATGGCATTCGATCGCATTCGGAAGGCGGCGCGGCGCGGCTCGGCGTCGAGTCGAGGTCGAGGCAGTCCGCGGCGAGCCAATGGGTTCCTCTAACGGCTAACGGGAACGGTGCTGCTCGGGTGGAGTCGCGTTATAGACATCGTTGGAAAGGTTTACGCGAGCAAATCGGTCGAGGAGTCGCGGTCGCGACGACTCGGTACCGTCGCGTCGTGGCCATAATTATAGGAAGATCGAGCGTGGCTGGGCCGTGTCGGCGGCTCTAACTTCGGCCTACGGGTTCGACGCTGCCGCCGACGCCGACGCCGACACCGACGGTAAGGTCAAGGCCCTCTGCAACCGCCCTACCCAACTCCGGTGTACCTTCGTGGTCACGTGACGCGGCTCAAGGTCTTTTCTCCCTACCCCGACCGCGCCGCGCCACGCCGAGCCGCGGCGGCGCGACGCGGCGCGGCGAGTCGGAAGCCGGGCCGGGCCGGGCCAGGCCAGGCCAGGCCACGCCACGGCCACGCCGCAACCACGCCGACGAGCAGCGTCTCACGGCCGACGAGCGCGCGTATTCTCTTTTTCGCCGTGCGTCCGCTCGGGTCGAAAGCCGACGCGGCTCGCCCTCCGGTCCGCCAAGACTTCCTGAATCATTTTCGTGTACGAATTTCTCCCGCGTGATTCATTGCCGGCCGTTTAGGGGTACGTCGGAATGAATCACACGCGGCGGCGAATAGTAGTCGAGGGTCAACGACCAACCGTGCGCCTCCGTTCGGATCCTCGCCGGATCGAGAGGAAGACGCGCGCGCGCGCGCGCGCGTGCCGCTAATTCGGATCCGCGAACAGAGTTACGCGCCACGATCGGACGACTTTGAATTTCAATGAAAATCGGGGACGACCGAACACGGACGGCTCGCTCGTTCCGACCGAAACGAGTTCACCTCGGAACTCGGGATAAAGAACTGGCCGATACGTCGCGCCGCGCCGAGCCGAGCCGAGCCGGTGCTCCACTCTTGCCAATAGCGTGGGAAGCGTATCGATATCTCGCCGGCATTCCGCTCTCGTTACCAGACGCGCGAACCACCGCCGGCATGGCACGGGGACAGGCTCGCCGTAAACGAGAACCATCGATACGAATTCCGACGAGACTCGCGGTCCTCCCCCCGGCCGATCGGGAACCGATCGCGACCGTCCCGAGCCGCTCACCCGGGTCTGTCGCGCCGTTTCAAAATTAGTCGGGCATGTATTTTCAGCGAGAAAGCCCGATTACCGCGATCCGTTACCACGGATTTTCTAGCGGAGTCGGTGGCCGCGCGATGCGACTACAGCTCCGTCGCTCGATAGAAGGTGTCCGCCGTGCAGGCATGGCACATGGCAGGTGACGCGGAAGAGGGATCGATGACCTTAGAGTACACACCGGCTCTATTTTGAGCGGGTCGCCGGCTACAGGCTGACCCAGGGACCACGGACCGACCGGGTTTTCGATCGGACGATCGTTTCGCGAATCGGTTCTTTCGGCGGGAGGGGGGGGGGGGCACGTCTTGGATCGCGGTCGCGGTTGTCGGGTTATTTTGCCGTGCGAACGAGATCGATCGCGCTGTTACGGCAGGGTCGGTGGGTAGAAAGATCAACGGGGCACGTGGCGAGTACCTCGAGAAAACGTGTTTCGCAAAAGCGATAAACGAATCTTGGAATGGTCGCGCGAACTTCGAACGATTCAAGACCAAAGTTTAGAGTCTCTAAAATAATCGGTAATCGGTCATCCGCGAACCGCGGGTAAACCGTTCGGTTGGACGGTGCTAATCGAAAGCCACGATCCACCCGATTCCACGAGACGCGAGAGAGGATCGTTGCTTCGCCGGAAGTTCTCGCGTCGCGCGGCTGGACGGTTTTTTCCCTCGAAACTAGAACCTAGAAACGAGAAACGAGAAACGAGAAACGAGAAACGAGAAACGAGAAACGGGAGACTGGAAAAGAAGAACAAAGCGGTTAACGAGGCTGTCCACCGTCTGCGGCTGATAAAGGGATAATCAGCGTCGGGGAAAAAGAATGGCACTCGCGTGACCACTGTCTAGCGACTTCTCTTTGGGGAAACGCGCTTCCGAGTTCGAGATACCGTTCCGTGACGCGGCGCGCGAACCACGGTCAACCGTCGTACCGTGCGTCGCAGTCGCATCGCGTTGCGTCGCGTCGAGTCGCGTCGCGTCGTTCGGCCGTGCTTTACACGGTAAAATCAAACGTCGGTCCGTTACGCTCTATCCTTCGGTAATACGTACAGCTTTAGAAAGCGTGTGCAACCGCGACCGTTGCACGATCGAAGCAACCTCTCGCTACGCGAGCATACGCGCGAGCTCTTTCCGTGAAACGCGTTTCATTCGATAATTAACACTTTGCCAACCTGCCCGGTTGCGTAATCCTTCTTTTTCGACGGGAATTTCACCGTCTTATTCGTCGAGTACATCAACCTTTTTCAGACAGTCTTTTACAACCGATCGAATCGACCCCTTCGGAAACGAATCGAATGAGATTCGTCGAGGCCGAAGAATGCTATTTATTCTTGTGATTTAGCAATTGCGTCGGCTCGACGACAAATGTTTCGCATCGATTTTAGAGACGGATCCGTTGCCTTTTTTCTAAAGGGCGACTTCCGTTTTTACGAACGGAGACGCGAGCAGTTGATCGTTCCGAAAATTTCTATACGATTTTATCGTACCTTTATTACGTCGGCCGATGGTTCTGGAAGAAATCGCAGCACGATATATAGCTGCCTGCTGTATCGTGCGAAACCATAACAATTCAACGCTGGGCTTGCGTTATTCGACAAACTTCTTGTTTAGGACGAGCATTCAGGACGGGGGTATTGCAATGAAAAATTTCTGGAAATCCGAATAAATATATTATTTTTCTATTTATTAAGCGATACATGTACAATCGCGTCGGAAAGTATGTCGACAACTTTCCAGACGGTATAACTTTGTTCGCGTTCCACCGAATAACGCGAATCTGTTAAAAATGTTCGACCGACTGGGTCCCAGCTGACTGGACAATTCTTTTGGAATGGTCGCAATTGGTCGCAACATTAGCGCGATATCTGAAAAAAATTCTAGTCTTTACGATCGAATTTTCGACGAGTCGTTCCCCCTTTCGAAGAGGCGTCAACATATTTTCCAGCACGCGTGTAAAACGATCGAATTTACCGCTCCGTAAAGCCATATCGTTGCGACATCGTGAGAATCATCGAAAATCGGAAATTTAGCGCGGGGAGACACTCCGGAGCCACCGCACGGTCGGCTAAAAGCCGGGTTCAACGTGGAATCTTTCGTTCTCCGTTTCACCTGAGGGGTAGAGGCGCGGGTTTTCCTTTCACCCGGGCCGAAGGGACGCGACGGGACGGGACGGGACGGGACTCGGCGGGCTCGATCGGGCCGAAACGCGTCTTCGCTGGATATCCTCGGAACGCTCGCGACGCGGTCGCTTTTTCGATGATAACTACATACGTATACTGGGATCTATACGCGACGATCTCGCACGGATCTCCGCCGTCCTCCGTCCAGCCGTGATATTCGCGATGGAAATGTTTTCTCGGACGGTGGTACACGGCCGAGCGCGAGCGATTCGAAGAATGGGAACGACATCTGGACGAAGTAGGCGACCGGCCGAGCATTTATTAGCGATTACGTAAAAATCTCGAAGAATGTTGATTTTTTTATTGGCCGGGCACACGCGACACGACCACGACCACGACCACGACAGGCTCGCTCCCTCGCGCGAGCAGCTCGGCGGCAGCCTCGTACACGCGCCGATCTTGGATACTCAGCGTCAGCGGTCTGGTCTGGGTGTCAATTAAAATTATTATAGCCGGTCGAGGGGCATTTTTGAGCAGCAGCAGAAGAGAACCAGAACCGGTTCGGTTCTGGACCGGCTGCAACAGCCAGTTACCGTCTCTTGTACAGTATACACACTGCCGCATTTTGTTTTCGCTTGCCCCAACGCGATCGCGCCGCGCGGCGCGGCACGGCACGGTGGACTGGCTTGCCGAGAAGAAAAGTAACATTCGCGATAGGGAACGGTCGATCGTTCGGCTGCTGGTCCTTTTGCCGCCACCGGACTCGAACGTTCGAGCGATCGCATCGATCTCGAGTCTCGAGGATCGACCGTGCCCGGACGACGCGACGGCCGAGATCCACCCGATGTCTGCGCGATCCGATCGTGCGTGCCG